CCCCCCCCCCCCCCCCCCCCCCCCCCCCCCCCCCCCCCCCCAATCAGTCCTTCTTGGCCGCCGCCTTCCTCATGGCGGCCAGCACGTTGCTCAACTCCTCCCGCTTCCTCTTGGCGCGTATGTGCGTGCCCACCCGCTTCTTGATGAACTTGAGCGCGCGCTTGTCCTTGGACACCTTGAGCAGCTCCATGGCGCGCCGCTCGTAGGGCGCGAAGCCACACACCTCCCGGATCATGTCCCGCACGAACTTGGTGTGCTTTGTGAGGCGCCCGCGCCGCCGGCTGTGCCTCGGCTGGCTCACGTTCTTCGTCACCTTGTGGCCCTTGTTGAGGCCCACGGCCATGGGGTAGCGCAGGGCCATGGCTGCTCCTCTCCGATGGCGGCCGCGACAGGAAGGACGGCGCCGCCCAATTTCTTTCTTTGATGCTTAAATTTTTCATTGTAGATATAGTCACGTTCTTGGTTCAGTATTTTTCTGTTTTTCTTTGAGGCTGTAGAGAATGAGATTGCTTTCCTGCTATGTGGCTGAAATACCAGGCCCAGAATGATCTGATGTAGTCTTAGATAACGGATTGTGTTATCTGCAAGGGATAATGTGATTTGTGCTTCCCTTTTTATTTCTATTGCTTCTGTTTCATTCTTTAGCCTTGTTGCTCTGGCTAGAACCAAACTCTGAACTGAATAAGAGCCAAGGCAGTGGACACCTTTGACTATCCCTGATTTTAGAAGGAATGCTGTTGGTTTTTCCACATTTAATTAATTTAATCTAAGCATTACCTCTGGGCTTAGAGTCTAATCGTTGTTGTGTTGAGGTGTATTCTTCCTATTCCTAATTTCTCCTGAGCCTTTGTCGCTAGAAGATGCTGGGCTTCATCAAAGGCCTTTTTCTGCATCATTGAGATGATCTTGTGATTTCGACCCATGAGTCTCTTTATGAACTGTATCACATTTATTAACTTGTGTATATTGAATCATCCTTGCTATTCTGAAATGAAACCAATTTGACCCTGGTATATGATGGTATGTTTGTATGATTGAATTAGTTTGCAAGTATCTTTTTCAGGTTTTTGTTTGTTTGTTTTGTTTTTGTTTTGTTGTGAGGGGAATTAGTCTATAGTTTTGTTTTGGTTTTAGTCATATTCTTAACCAACTTGGTATTAGAGCAATATTGGCTTTGTAAGATGAGTTTGGTAGCCTTCTTTCCCTCTCTGTTTTTGGGAAGAGTCTGAGGAGAATTGGTGTTCATTCTTTAAGGTTCTACCAGAATTTGGACATGGATCTGTACAGTTCTGGGCTCGTCTTTCTTGGGAGACTTAAATGATTGTTTCAATATCATTATTCCTTGTTTAGGCCTGTAGAACCCCAAGGATCTGGGCTTCTGATATTTGGGTCACACTAATAACCTGGAGTTTAAACCTTTGGCAATAGAATAGGAAGGCTTGTGGTATAGAGCGTGGGGACCTTCCCAAAGTCAGTTTTCTGGCTCCTGACTGGAGCTTCTCCTTTCTGTAGCTCAGTAGTTCACATGTTGGGTAATTTGTGGAGTGATTAGTAAAATAGTCTATTCCTGAAGGGAGGATGGTAAGTCATGATAAATCTTTTTATAATCTTAATCTTTTCTGTCTTTTAGTTTTATAGCATAAAACTTAACCCTTACTCCACGTTATATACACTTTTAACCTTGTCACTTTGTAATAAAAGTTATAGCCTGAGTGTTTGTGAGAACTGAGGTGTGCTGTTTAACAGATAATGGTGGTGCCCCCAAATGATGCCCAAAGGCGAGTGCTGGGAATTCAAAGAGGCAGACATGGTTCCTGCCATGAAGAAAACCACAATCTAATGGTACCCTCAGCTAGGGAAGAGCTTCATTCCTTCTTGGTGGTCAGCACAGAAGTGAGCTAATGCCAGGGAGGAGTGCCTAAGCCCCAAGGCTATAGAGAAAATCTCTCAGGAGAAACTACCTGAGCAGAGCCAGCAGATAAGGAAAGGGGTGGAACTTTGTGCTTATGCAGGAAGTGAGGTGCAGCCTGCTTTCCGCTGTTACGGTTCTGGCTTTATTGGATTTTGCTCGTAAAATAGTTTCAGAATTCTCCCATGTTCTGATGGACTAACCTTGGATGCATGTGCCCCAAACAGTCTGGCACACAGAGGTGCCTCATAAGTGTTTGTTAGAAGGACTGATGGACAGATGATAATGAAGAGACAGATGGATGGGTGGGTGGGTGGGTGGACAAATGAGCGGATGGAGGTGTGGATAGATAAGCAGGTGGACAGATGAATAAGTGGATGCATGAGTGGGTAGGTATGTGGGAATACAGACAGATATGAGCTGTTCTCTAACTCCTTACCCTGTAAGGTGACTGTGGACTCTCAGGCTGTGTGGCCACCAGTGAGCAGATATGGGTTCCAAATTGAGGATACAGGCCACATGTACATCATCCGGACACCCTCACACATCCAGATCCAGTGGCTCCACAGCTCAGGACTCATGATCCTGGAAGCCAGCAAAACCGGCAAGGCCCAGGGCCGTGGCCTGTGTGGTGAGATGGGACTCAGCTGGGGGAGAGTGGTCCCTGGTCGCTCTCTGGCACCAGGAAGGTTCCCTTGGATCAGGATATGTTGGGACAGGGTGTCAGGCCAGAGATGGGGCTAACAGAATTGCCAGTGCAGAAAGGCCTAATGTCTGTGTGTGGGGCTGAGGCTGTTAACAGGGCATATAGTGCAGGGTTTGCCAATTGTCACGTCAGCCAGGTTTGTCTGTCAGCGTCTCTGACGGCTTCCTAATGCCAGATAATCCTTCCTGTCTGCATGTGCTGGGGCCCTTTGCCAGACAGTTCCACTCTTTAAGATTATTTACTCCAGGTCACCCACACAACAGGCCTGGGAAGTGGCCCTTAGTATTCTCACTGAACCAGAGACAAGCGGGGGCTCAGAAGTCAAGTGGCTGTCTGGTGGCACATGGCAGTGTTGCTGTGACATGCACAGCTAGGGTTCCCGATCCACAGCACGGCTGCAGACAGCACTCTCTTAAGAGCAAGTGCTAACTAGGAACATAGCGCAGGAGGACCCTGGGCGCAGGTGGATGCTCCCTGCACAGACTCTTCATGGCAGGCTGCTGTGATTGTGACAGTGGGTGACACAGGCACTCTCTCTTTCCATCCTTTAAGTGGCAGCCCCTGGGAAGCAAAACAGATAAAGTTCTGTTCTATGGAGCTGACATTTTTACTGATAAGACATATTTCCTTTCATCACCATTACCTTCTCCACCACCATCACCACCAACACCACAATCATAGCCACCACCATCACCACCAACACAACAATCATAGCGACTGCCACCACCATCACCACCAACACCACAGTCATAGCCACCACCATCACCACCAACACCGCAGTCATAGCCACCACCATCACCACTGTCACCACCACCGCCACCACTTTTTTCTCTTCTTTTCTTTCATACTCTGTTCATCTCTGGTAAAGATGGCAGGATTCAGGCAGGGCGTGTTTTCCCTGAGATACCTTTGGGATATCGCTTGGTGATTCTAAACCCAGACCAAAGTGTCATTATTAAGAAAATTAATAAAATCAGGCTAGAGAGATGGCTCAGGGGTTAAGAGCACTGATTGCTCTTCCAGGAGATCCAGGTTCAATTTCCAGCACCCACATGGAAGTTCAGTACTGTCTAGAACTCTAGCTCCAGGGGACCTGACACTCATGGCAAAATGCCAATGCACATAAAAATAAAAAAAAGAAAATTAATAAAATCAAAGAATTTAGCTTCCAGTAATGTTTTACTTATGCCTGCAGAAATGATAGTTGGAGATGTCAGAACAGAAATCAGATCATTCTCGTGTCTGTTCTGTCTGAACTATCCCTTGATATATACACTGTAGCCCCTGCTAGGCAACAGGGAGTGCTGAGATCAGTGAGACCTGAAAAAGAAGCCCTGTGACATTCCTGCAAGCGGTAGCTTTGCCGGACCTAGGAAGGTGGCAGGTGGGTGGATGGGAGGCCCCCCGGGAGGAAGGACATTTGAGGAAGCATTGCAGGCAGGAAGAGCAGCGCAAACAAAGCCACAGGCAGGAAAAGGTGTCTGTGACGCTGAAAGCACACGTGGAGGAGAGGGATGGCAGGGGAAGCGGGAGGGGTTGTAGCAGATAAGCCACATCCTTGCCCTCACCTCAGGGCCCGACACACTGGAAGTATGCTTCCTGACAACATGACTTCCCACATGACTAGTGACAAGTCATGCTCCGGATTCCTTCCTTATTTAATGTTCAGAGTGAGTTCCCAGCCTCACAGAAGGAAGACGGTAAGGTCTGTGGATGAGGCTGTAAGTGCCCTCCACCTTAACTCACGCTCCATTGGCAGGGCCTGTCACAGTCACATCCAACTGCAAGAGAGTCTGGGAAAGTGGATTCCTGATTCCAGAGAGAGAAGGAAACAGCTTTCAGAGTCAGCTCACAGCCCCTACTGGAGCAGATTCTTAGGGGATGGCTTTTCATTCTGATGTGGCAGACACAGAGATTGAAAAGTAGAGCAAAGGATTCCCACTGCCTTTTACATAGATGGAACAATTGCTCACATTTTGCTTCTCTCTCTCTCTCTCTCTCTCTCTCTCTCTCTCACACACACACACACACACAGTAATATGTATATGTAGTATATACACACATATATAGGCATGTATGCATATATCCCTGAACCATTTTAAAGTAAGTTCAAAACATGATGTCCTTCATCCCTAAACATTTTGGTGGGCACCTTCCCTGGCTCCCTGTGCCTCACTTTCCTCACCTGTCATGTGGCAGGTAGCAATGACACCTTTCAGAACCATCTGAAGATTGCTGAGTGAGAGCCAACTGGGGAGGCAGTGTTCTCTGTGCCTATTGGGACCATTGTGCCCCTTTCAGGTATCTGTGATGGAGATGCAGCCAATGACCTCACCCTGAAGGACGGCTCTGTGGTGGGTGAGGCAGAGGACCCTGCTCCCTTTCTGGACAGCTGGCAGGTGCCCAGCTCCTTGACCTCAGAGGGTCAGACCCGCTTCCGCCCAGACAGTTGTGCCACAGCGGACTGTTCGCCCTGCCTTCGCATGGTGTCCAACCGCACTTTCAGCGCCTGCCACCGCTTTGTAGGTGCCCGTGGAGTGCGTCATGGGGAGACTTGCTGGGCTGGGGAGAGCAGCAGCCACCTACAGAGACACCGTAGTCTTCTGGGCAGAGTGAGACAGAGCTGGGCCCTGGGAAGTGGGGCACCAGAATGGGCAGCACTGCCTAATGCATTTGTCCAGGTCTCCCCAGAGTCGTTCTGTGAGCTGTGGATCCGGGACACCAAGTATGTGCAGCAGCCCTGTGTGGCACTCACTGTATATGTGGCTATGTGTCACAAGTTCCACGTGTGCATTGAGTGGCGGGGATCCGACTACTGCCGTGAGTGGGGGTCTGGGCACCTTCTTCTCCATTTCTCTTCCCAGAGCCTCCTGACACCGATGCTTCCCTAAGCTTAGTCACGTCTTCATTCATTACTTGTATTAATGAGCTTATAAATATTTTACATTTGTATTTAAATTTTATGTTCTACACAACATATTTGATATTAGTTAATGAGCTTTTGCTATATTTGTATAAAGAAAAAGGAATAATTTTATTTTAATTTATTGTTTTTAATTTGAGTCCTTTCTCTGTACAATGGGGACAGCAATATTTGCTCCTTTGGTCAATAGGAGATAATGGGTCAGATGTCCATTTCTCCACACCCACTTGTCACATGATTGCTGTATGGCAACTCCCTTTGTTTAGCTTCCAATAACCTTGTCTTTGGATCTCTTCTTCCCTGCTTCTTCTTCCCCTTCATCCTGTTGGAGTCAGTCAGGGGTAGGGCGTAGAGCATTTTGATTTCCAGAAAGGCTGGGACAGCTCCTGGGAGGGCATATCTACACATGACAGGTGAAAAGGAAAATATTTTTCATATATAGAGTAGTATTTTTCAAACTGTGTATCCCGACACAGAGGGTGTGCAGCCAATTTGAGAAGAGCAACACCAGCATTTTTTTAAAAAAAGAAAATGCAACGAAATATGAAATAAAGTATATAGCATGCATAGTAAAAAAAGTTTTTTTTCAGTTCAATAGTAACTTTCAATTCAGCTGGTCACAGGGGAAACTTGGGAAAGCACTGGGCTCCTTTGGAGGTTCACTTGGTGTTGGATGGGACTCTGCCCAGCAGGCTGGTGTGTATTGGACCATAACCACAGATCCACTGTCTCTAGTCAAGACTGCTGGGAAACACTGATCTAAAGCCAGGGGTTGGCAAACTTTTTCAAGGGGCCAGATAGTGAATACCGTGTCTTGTGAGCCATAAGATTTCTTTCTGGAGGACTCTGTTCTACCCTGCACTGCAGAGACAAACGAAGACCTTATGTAAATGAATGGAACATGATGGCTGACACCTGTAATCCTAGTGCTTGGAAAGCTGAGCCAGGAGAATGAATTTTGCCTTAAGTAATGAACACATGACTCAACGATAACAAAACAAACAAACCCAAAGCAACACCAACATTTACACAAATGACTGGGCACATCTTTGCTCTAATAAAACTTTATTTGAAAAGCAGACAATTAACAGCATTTAGGCTAGGATGCGGTCCTTTGATGATTCCTGATCTAGAGGAAGGAGGTCCAGTGTTAAGGCACAGACTTAGGTACTGCTGAGGCAAGGTGGATACTCTGTGCTTCTCCTCACCCCTTCCAACTCTTGCTGGCCTCATCAGGGATCTCTGACTGGGAACTTGACTAGGCCCGATGCCCATGTTACCCCTACAGCCTTCCTGTGCTCCAGTGACTCTACCTACCAGGCATGCGTAGCAGCTTGTGAACCCCCTGAAACATGCCAAGATGGGATACTAGGCCCACTGGACCCAGAGCAGTGCCAAGTTCTAGGTGAGGGCTGCGTGTGCCTGGAGGGTACCATTCTGCACCGGCGACATTCTGCACTCTGCATCCCTGAGGACAAGTGTGGTAGGTCCCTGCCCTCCCCAGATGCCCCCCCCCCGCCCCGTCTTACACTAGGGCCTCCTTTGCTTCCTGCAGACCATGGCAAAGGCCACTTAGCATCCTTCCAGGTCTGCTTTGGGGTGGTTCATGTTTGGATGAGAGGGATCCTAGCCTGAGACAGTCTGGTCCTTAGTCCCCTGTGCCCTACCATGCTCCCTCTGCAGCGTGCACTGACAGCACAGGGGTGCCACGAGCCCTGGGGGAGACCTGGAACAGCTCCCTGAGTGGCTGCTGCCAGCAGCAGTGCCAGGCTCCAGATACCATCATAGCTGTGGACCTGGACTGCCCTGGTCCCCGACCCGAGAGCTGCCCACGCTTTGGAGAAGTGATCCTGTTACAGCCCACAGAGGACCCCTGCTGCTTGGGGAGTGTGTGCGGTGAGCCGGGCTCTCGATTTCCCTGGCCGTCAGCTGTAAGCTAGCAACAGGTTCTAGTTGTGCCTGCTGTACGACCGTGACAACTGGAAAACTGTCAGGGCAGGCTGGAAAATTAAAGCATCTTTTGGGATGTTCATGGGGAAAGCAAGAACCAGGCTGAGCGGGCCAGACACTTGGCTTGGCGTGTAGTGGGCAGAGGTCTGGGATCAGCATCCTGTTTAGCTCTCCCCTGTAGACTAACTCCGTAATCACGGTCACAGGCTGCCCTGGTTCTCCAGTAACGTGAGGCTGCTCGGCTGCTCTTGGCACCCACCTTCTCGTGCGGATGCTAACACTGGCACACAGTACACCTAGATGAATGTGTATTACCCTTCAGTCTCTGCAGCCGTTTGAGAGTGGGGGAGGGGAGGGGCTGTAAGGAGTCCAAGTGTGCAAGCACCCAGTGGTCCTGGTGAGCAGTGAGGACACTGGCCTCCAGGTGACAGGTTCTGTGTCCTGCTGCCTAGTGTGTAACCAGACTCTCTGCGAGGGCCTCGCTCCCACCTGCCGCCCAGGTCACAGACTCGTCACCCACTTCCAGGAGGACTCGTGCTGTCCCAGCTATAGCTGTGGTAAGTGGTGGGGGCAGGAGAGCAGGTGGACCTGAGGAGCCTGGGCTGTGCTCTGAGTTCTGAGTTCGCGGTGGAGATCGCAGCGGGCTAGGCAGGGGCTGCTTTTGGAGTTCACATTCTCTTCTCTCCTCAGAATGTGACCCTGGCCTGTGCGAGGCTGAGCAGGTCCCTGCCTGTCGCGAGGACCAGATCTTGATCGCGGGCCGCCTAGGGGACTCCTGCTGTACCTCCTACTTCTGCAGTGAGTGGCTGCGGGCCCCACGTCAGCCCTTCCTCATTCCTACTTCTGTGGTGACCGAGAGGAAAAGCTGGGGCATTTGTATGAGGGGGTAGAGAGAGAAGGATGAAGCCACTACCCAGAAAGCAATGCAGGACAAAGAGAAAAATGGGCCCCATGCTGCTTCTAGGTTACCAAGCACAAGAAATCAGTGTGTTTTCAGGGTCGGACTTTGGGTTGACATAGAAGAACACATAGGTTCTGTTGCCAGGATACCCAAGACCCCAAAATGCTGCGTTTGGCTGGCTAGATGCCCTGCCCCCTCACTGTGAGAGGAACTTCTATGACAGTGGTGGCCTTTCCGTCTCCACAGGCTGTGGTGACTGTCCAGATCCCATCCCCGAGTGTCAGGAAGGAGAGGCGCTCACTGTACACAGGAATACCACGGAGCTCTGCTGCCCTCTGTACCAGTGCGGTGAGTCCTGCGTGTGGAAAGATGGTGGTGCTGTGAGAGATGCCTGCCCTGTAAGGGGGGGTGTGGGTACAAACAGGGGCTGGGAGGTACCCCATCTGACCAGCACTGCATCCTGAGCGGTCATAGACTGAGGTGTCTGAGACTAATCTGTCACCTGTCTCTCCCCCAGTGTGTGAGAGCTTCCGCTGCCCACAGGTACAGTGCGGCATGGGCACTTCCCTGGTGGAGGTCTGGAGCCCGGACCGCTGCTGCCCCTACAAGTCTTGTGGTAAGTTTCAGTCAGATATGGGTGGAGGGAAGAGCCCCCACCACCATCAACGTGGCTGAGATCAGCCTCCCCAAGCTGTGAGCAGGACTCCTCTCCTCCTGCCCCACTCTCAGCATGCAGAACCCGACAGTTTCTTCCCCAGGATCACAAATGGTTTCTCATTCAGAGTGTCATCCTTGCATTGCCCGATAGTCCGTAGAGACTCGGGTCTGCTTGGAAGAGCGATAGGAACGTCAGTGATTAGTAGTGAACAGTGGTGAGCTTTACACAAAGCTTGAAAGCTACGTTAGCAAACTGGGAGAGCATTCTGCTGCTGGCTTTTGGGCCTCACTAGAATATGTGCTACGTGAGGGCAGGATCATACTCAGCTTTATTCCTCACACCTTAAGGGTACAGAGCAAGCCAGCCATCTAGGGAATCCCCTTGTTGTATGAGCTAGAGACCCAGAAAGGACTTTCCTAGCTTCTCTGGCCTGCGACCCTTGCTCCTCAAATCTAAAGCTGGTTTTCCCCTTCCATTACTTCCGGGTGCCTCCGGCCACTGCGCACAGGTAGAGCTATCGGGCCAAGGCTGTGCTGATGGAGCTCAGCTGCTGGAACTCACTTGTGGGAAACACACATGCAAGGAAGTTGCATCTTGCTACCTGGAGAGGTCCCACACGCAGGGGAGAGAAAGGAAAACATATGCGTGTTCTGTCTGCCCGCTTCACTTCCCTCCATACCCAGTCAGGAGTGGGACAGTCAGGACTACCCACCCACCTAAGCAGGAGGGCTCTGTCCCCTGCACGTGTGGGTGAGAAGTGGCTGGTATTTCTCTGCCACCTCCCTGGGGTGGACCAGGATTAGAGTTGTGCCTCAGGAGGGACTGGTCTGCAATGCAGTGTCTGAACATTCCTGGTGAGGTAGGTTATGGCCTCTTCTGTTTTCCAGAGTGTGACTGTGATACAATCCCTGTGCCCAGATGCCATCTGGTATGGAGACCCTGTCTCTCCCCACCCTTACTGGTCGGCTTCTCTTTTCCTTTCCTCTCTTCTCTTTCCCTTCTCCTGGAGACTCTACCAAATCTAATACACAGTTGGTGGTAGGACAGTCGGGATGGTGAAGATGATGGAGGTGGTGATGATGGTAATGTAGATGGTGATAGTGGTGATGATGGTGGTTCTAGTGATAATCACAGTGCCAACTGCTGAGACCTTACTGTAGGCCTGAACCTTCCCAGGTCTTTTAAATGAATTATCTTATTGATATGACAAGTTCAGGAGACTGAGTCTGCTGATGATGATGTGAACAAGGAAGCTGAAATTAAGGTCATGACGTTGGCAAATCACAGAGCCAGGATTAGAATCTTGTGGCCCTTTAGCCTCTAGGCTGCATGGCTGTCACAGTGTGTGTGTGAAGTGATGGCCGACGGCTTCTGGATTATGGTCCCCCCGAGTGTGTTGTCCAGCACGTATTTTCTTTCTTGTGGTCCCCTCCCCACCCATTTTTCTTCCCCGAAACTGATAAAGAAACTAGGACATGGGTAAGGTGTAAGCCAAGTGAGACTCTGAGGACAGGAAGCTGGACCGTGGGAGAGTGACTGAGCTTCTGGGTGCTGAGGGACCCCGAGTTTGCCATCTTCGTCTGCCCAGTGCAGGCCCAGTGCCAGGCCATTCCCGAGGGTGGGGTTGAGTGCCTCCTCCGAATGCTGACTTGCTCTGTCACCCACAGTGGGAAAAGTCCCAGCTGGATGAGGGGTTCATGCACAGCGAGGAGAATGTGTGTGGCTGTGCCAAGTATGAGTGTGGTGAGTGGGGACGGGTGGATCCGGGAGGGCGAGGGTGGTGAACCTCAGGTGGGTCAGCTGGGAGGGGCCAGGTGGGTGACTGGGCTCTTCAGGACAGTTCCTCTCCCTTTACCAGTGAAAGCCCCCGTGTGTCTGAGCCGTGAGTTGGGGGTGATGCAGCCAGGCCAGACGGTGGTAGAACTCTCAGCGGATGGTGTGTGCCATACATCCAGATGCACAGATGTGCTGGACCCCCTCACCAGCTTCTACCAGATCAACATCACCTCTGTCCTTTGTGACATGCACTGTGAGGCGGTAGGGGCAATGTGGGGTGCACGTAGTCAGAGGCCTAGGCTGCCAGATCCTCATCAGTTCCAGAAATCGAGTCTAGAGAGTAGGCATCAGAGCAGCCTTAGGAGACCCCGATGGAGAGGAGCCCAACTTGGGGTGGGGGTAGCACCAGCAAAGGGACTAAGTTAAAGCCTGGCTTCTACCAACGTCTAAATAAATACTGACTGAATGAAAGGGATTAGAACTATTCCCTCCTTCCCACTGAGAAACGTGAGCTGTAGGGAGGTTGAGTTCTTAATCAAAAGCACAGCAGGGACTGAGCTTCAAACTGAGGTCTGTCTGGAACCAAGCTGCCACCATTACCAACACTACAGTGTTGCCTCTGCAGGGCACCTCCTTGTTCCCTGGGGCTGGGTCTAAGTGTTGGTGGGAATGGGGCTTCAGGTAAACACGGAAGACCTGCCTGCCTGATCACAGCGGAGGACGGATGTGGGCATGAGACTGAAATTGTCTTCTCTGCCCTGGCCTTCAGAACCAGGAGTATGACCACCCACGGGACCTGGCAGCCTGCTGTGGCTCCTGCAGGAATGTGTCCTGCCTCTTCACCTTCCCTAATGGCACCACTTCCCTCTTCTTGGTAAACAGCCCCTAAGCTCACCTGGGAATGGGTCCTGGAAAGTGACACTAAGAGCGGGGGCGGGGGGCGTTTCTGGGCCCCACAGTGGAGCTTGGTACTCACGAGCAACAGCAGTGCCAGGCCCTGCGCTGGGCATGTCCTCGGGGCCCCACAGTGGAGCTTGGTACTCATGGGCAACAGCAGTGCCAGGCCCTGAGCTGGGCATGTCCTCGGGTTGTGCTGTCCATGGGCCAGAAGTTCTCAGTGCCCATCCATGTGCTTTCTAGCCTGGTGCTTCCTGGATTGCAGACTGTGCCCGCCATCACTGTGGCAGCACGCCCCTGGGCGCCGTACTTGTCCGCTCACCCATCAGCTGCCCCCCACTCAATGAAACTGAGTGTGCCAAGGTCAGTGTCTTCTCCGTCACGCCAAGACACCATGTTTTACTGGGGGCTGGGGCCTGGGGCCTGGGTCAGAATCCTGTGTTCTCTCCATGTACATCTTTTTCAATCACACCCTGTATCTACAAACATCATGTGACCACACACCAAGGCATGCAATCGTATTATCAAGTGTTCCGGGACTCACCCCAGGCTGTTGATCACTCATACTTCATAGGGACATCAGTGCATTCAGCATGCCAGTGCCCACACCACACACTGACACACCTGCAGCTAGGCACACTCTTGCAATACGTATACCAAGCTTATACCTACATGCAAAGTTTAGTCCTCTGGTAGGATGACATGTTTCCAGCCTGGTGTGGAGGGCTATCGGTATAGACACAAAGAAGAGGGTCCCTGGAGGATTAGGGGGTTGCAGTTGAACTAAGAAGATTCCGAAGATTAATAATAGACATTTGAAGATTTTTGACTCTTTAGATCACAGACACACAGGACTGCGGCTCAACAGGTACAGTGCTTGCTTAGCAAGTCAGAATCTCTGGGCTCAGTTTTTCCCACAGAGCTCCTGCCATGGGGTGCCATGGGAGGAAGACCTAACTTAGATTCTTTATATATTATTTATTTAGTTGGGTTTTGAGACAAGATTTCATTTTGTAGTCCTGCTAGCCTGGAACTCACTATATGGTCCAGGCTGGCCTAGAACTTGTAGATATCCTCCTGGGATTATGGACCAGCTCTCTAAGACTGTTTTTGCCTGTCATTGGAATCTTGACTCCTGGCCTGGAACATGAATTTCCTACCTACTCCTCCTCTTCTCCCTCTAGGTTGGCGGCTCTGTGGTACCGTCCTTGGAAGGATGCTGTAGGACATGTACGTGAGCATGGGGTGGAAACTGGGGTGCAGTGTGCAAGGGTGGGGAGCACATAGGTGGCCAAGAGGCTGTGTTACCAGCCTGGTAGCTATGATGGTAGCTCTCAGGGTGAGTAGAAGAAGGAATGGTTCATGAGTTTTGTCCCAATACCAAGCTTCTGCTTCTTGCTGGAGATAAAAGACAATAGCCAGTCCAGTCAGGAAGTTTTCTGCTTCCTTCTGTCCCTAATGAAGACTCTGTCACCCTCATGGTTCTCTTCTGTCACCATGAACCCTAGTCTTGAAGGTGCCTCCAGAGGAAAACCTCTGTCTCTCAGTTTGCTTCTGGAACCCTGGACACTTGAAACCAGAATCTTAACCACATATGCTTAAGTGGACCAATCAGTCTTGTGATCTTTGCTTACATACTTGACTTTCTAGGATGCTTAGACCCTGTGTCCCAAAGACCATAGACTTTCAGCCCCTTTATGTACACATCACTTACTACAGGGAAGCTCTACTCCAGACCAGTGGGTTAGTGTCCCCTGCTACTCAGTTACTTGTCTCAGAAGCACGTAGGATGGGATGCAGGTAGATACATGACGAATATCTTCAAGTGTCCCTTCTAGGTGGCTCTAAGTTCTGGGGGTAACAGAAAGGGAGATTCCCTGCCTCTGGTGAAGGCCAGTTAGCCCACATGCTTGCTGGGTACTGAGCCATATCTCCTGAGTTTCAACAGCTCATCTGGTATTAATCCATGTCTAAGGCCACCATTGCTTTCTTCTACTGGACACCTAGCCTTGCTCATTCCAGTGCCCACAGGGCCATGGCTAGGGTAACCCTCAATTCTCCCTCTTCTCTGCTGAGTATCAGAAGTTAAGAGAATGGATTCTACTCAGTTGATTTCTCGTGGATTCAGTGGTCTTAAGGAACAGGTCCATCTGCCTCTAGCAGGTATCTAGTGAGTGCCACTGTGTGCCAGCCACTGACCCAGGAGCTGTGACCATGGTGTAAAGAAGACCTTTATGGATGTCACTTTCGGGCGTGGGGTGGAAGAATGGGTGTAGTAGATTACAGGTGGTAGCTTTGAGTTCTGTAGGGTCCAATTCATAAAGAATCTGGAGGGGGTCATCAAACCAGAATCCACAACTACCATCTGTATTGAGGCATGGAAGAGAATATTGGCATTGAAAACAGAACTCACCCTGCAGTGAAGAAGGCCCTGGAGATGTGGGCTCCAAAGCTTACAAGTTTAGGCTTCCGTAGTAAAATTACAGATGTGCCTCTGTAAACAAACAGATTGTGCCTGAGACAGAATAGGCCAAGGAGGCACCAGAGAGGGCTGAGGAAGGGAAGTGTAGTGATGTGGGAAGTCCTTCTGCATATGTGCTGCTTTTTATTGGTTAATAAAGAAGCTGCTTTCAACCAATGGCTTGTGCATATTTCTGGCTAGCTGTTATATCTTAAATTAACCCATTTCTATTATTCATCTGTGTATCACCATGTAGCTGTGGCTTACTGGCAAGGTTCTGGCACGTCTGTCTCTGGTGGAGGCTACATGGCTTCTTCTTGAAATGAACGAGCAGCCTCCCCCAACAGTGCAGTTTCCAGAAGAGAAGATCTAGGGAGGGCTCACTAGGGTTTGTAGGGGGTATTGGAGAAAACTGCTCACGGAGGTGAGGTGAGAGAAGGTCTCCTGCGTGGCCATCTGGGAGAGCTGTGATCCAGACAGAAGAAACTCTATACTGCTGATTTCCATCCCTGACCCCCACTTGAGAGCTGTGGAACCCCCATGGGTCTTGCACACAGCAAGCATCCTAGCTGGGCCTGAGGTTTCCACTCATGGCAGCATCTTACTGTTAGATGCCGTCTCAGAGTAGAAACATTGGAGCTCAGGCGGGGTGTGGCACCGTATCCAGGGGCTCCAACAGGGTGACAAATAAGTGTTGGGGCTTGGGCATGAAGATAGCTGCCCTTGTCTCAGATCTTCTTATGGTGCAGAGCCCCGAGGCTCTGTCTGGCCGTTCGTGTGTCTTCCTCTGTCTCACCTGCTCATGCCGCTGCCCTTCTTGGTGCCTCATTTGTCTAGGGCATTGGGTTGAAGGGTTTCCCCTTGATGGAAAGGAACATTAATGTGTGGGTACCAGGCTGGCCCATTCTGATGCCAGTCTGGGGCATAACTGTTTTACATACAGGTAAGGAAGATGGGCGCTCCTGCAAAAAGGTGACCATCCGCATGACCATCCGCAAGAACGATTGCAGGAGTAACACCCCTGTGCGTGAGTGGATGGGTATCTCGGGGGGTGGGTGGAGGGAATGGGGATGGTTATCTCGGGGGGTGGAGGGGACGGGGAGGCAGACCTTCCCCTGGCTGCCTTGCTGACACGCTCATTTTCCAGGTGAACCTGGTGTCTTGTGATGGGAGGTGCCCTTCTGCCAGCATTTACAACCACAACATCAACACATATGCCCGCTTCTGCAAGTGCTGCCGTGAGGTGGGACTGCAGCGTCGCTCTGTGCAGCTCTTCTGTGCCACCAATGCCACCTGGGTGCCCTACACAGTGCAGGAGCCTACGGACTGTGCCTGCCAGTGGTCCTGAGGCCTGGGTGTCAGGGCTGTCTGGGCCACGCCTACCATTCTCATGTTCTCCTTCTAGCTGGCCTAGATGACTAAGGGGAGAGAGCTTGTCTGTGCTGTGTATGGCGAGCAGCATCCACAAGGGACCTGAGCAGGCCCCACTTGTCAGTCCTGGCTCCCTCTCTGGGTCCCTCCACCTGCTTGTGGGAAACACTCCATTTCTCAGATCCTCTAGAACCCAAGCCTACATGGCCTGAGGTCAGGATGGAGCTGCACACCCAGTAGTTGAAGGCCTGGTGTATCTGTGACTCTGGCCTGGGTTTTGGTGGAGGGACTGAGACTTTCCTGACACACTGAAATCAAAGTGGAACCAGTGCTGTCTTAGGGCTAAGATTTGGTGGCTTCATTTTTTTCCCTGGCTGTCCTAACAATGGGAGGAACACAGAAGAAGGAAAAGGGGTTCAGGTAACATTCAGGCTTTCCAAAGCAAAGAGGATGAGCCTTGGAGAGCTGTGAGGGTTTTCTCAGAGGCTGTGGAGTAGTCTAGACTTCTGTAGTCTCAGAGGGTTCCATGATGTTCTGGAATTTAGAGGAGCAGGTCCAGGTCTGTGCCTCAGTGTGTCACATGCTCACCCTTAAGTCATCTTTGCATATGTATGAAAGATTGTCTCCTCAGCAGGGCCCAGGTATCCATGACACCCTTCTAAGTAGCTCTAGGTTGTAGGTGGCACTTCCAGCCCTTTTCTCCAAGGGCACGTCAAGTGTGTCTGTGCAAGGGCCTACATGTGTGTTTGTGGCTCAGCCAATTCTGGTCTCAGTGCTGTCTGGCACTTCGTTGATGGAGAGTGTCTGTCTGTGAAAATGCAGCATATGAGTGTGCAGCCCAAGTGGCCCCGAGTGTCTGTCAGAGCCTTGTCCCCAAACCAAAGTGCTCCCCCAAAGTCAGGGCAGAGCTCCTGTCCCATGCCACTCTGCAGGTCCCCTCCTTCTTGCACTGCTGTGTGCTACTGGGGTCACAAAGGTCATGACCTGATGCTGTTCAGGTCCCAGTATTGCCCTGATGCCCCTATGGGGTAAAGGCACTGTGTCAGGATGGTCCCTACATCTGCTTTGCCTCTGTAACTCTTCTGTATTTTGTTCATGTATCAATAAACTGCGAGAAGTCTTGCAAGCATCTCTGAGGATGCCAGGCCTGACTCGGATACAGGAGAGCATCAGCTATGAAGAAGACCATCTCTGAGGGCCCCAGGGGTCTGTTGGACTTCTACAGCTTGCCTGACTGTACCCCAGCTCCCACCCAGGCACCCGCTACTGCCTGCCCTTGTCCCTAGCCTTCCAGCTCACGCTTCCAGCACTACTGCCGAGTCACTCCTGGGAAGACCAACTACTCCAGGCTGAAACATGTCAGACAAAGACAAACAAATCATGAACCCTGTCCTGTACTGTGGGACATGAGGGTGAGGACTCTGTAACTGTGCCCCACACTATGGAGTAGACAGCAAGAAATGAGGACAGAGGACCACAGGTAGTGGTATCCAGTTAGCACCAAGACCAGCAGCACAGACGTGAGCATGCACAGAATCCAGAAAGCTGGTTGAAAAGAAAATCTTTTGATATGTTGCAATGCTTCTAAACAACTAGTGTAGCTTGGTTGTGGCCCTCCAAAGAGATACGGCACATTCCTGGAACCTGTAAAGAGATCGTCATCTTACATGACAAAGAGTCTTTCCAGGTGTGACTGAGATGATTGGACTACTCAAGTGGGTCCTTAGAAAGGGGGCAGGAAGGTCAGAGTCAGAGAGGGGATAGTGGCATGGAGGATGGAGCGAGCTTCTTCAAAGGACGAGGAAGTGGGGACACCCAGGTTGCTTCTAGAAAGTGGATTCAAGAGGTGGCTTCTGGGCTTGTGTCTTGGTTACTTCTCTATGGCTGTGATAAAACACCATGGCTAAGGCAGCTTAGAAGAGACAGTGTTTAATTTGGCTTACAGTTTCAGAGAGTTCGATTCCATGGCTGCAGAGCAAAGGAACATCCAGGAGTTCACATCTTAATCCACAACCACAAGACAGAGAGAAAGAACTGGGGATTGCAAGAGTCTGGAAATCTCAAATGACACAGTTTCTCCAATGAGGCCACACCTCCTAGTCTTTCCCAAACAGTTCCACCAACTAGAGACTAAGTATTCAAACATATGAACCCACAGAGGTCATTCTCATTGAAACCACCATAGCTGGAGAGATGGCTCAGTAGAAAAAGTGGTTGCCATGCAGGCATGCAGCATTCAATTCTTGGCTGTCTTCAGAAAGCCAGGCATGGGGGCTAAAGAGGTAGCTCTGCAACTGAGAGCATGTGCTGCTCTTGAAGACTGGGTTGAGTTCATGCATGTGGCACAATACATACATGCAGGCAGAACACTCATAAGAAAACTTCTTTTAAAACTGGGTGTGACGGGGTATATTTGTAGTCCCAACACTGAGAAGGTGGGCACAGGCAGATCCCTGGAGCTCACTGGCCAGGCACCCTAGCCTAGTCAGTAAGCTCTAGGCCAGTAAGAGACTCTGTCTCAAAACGTGTAGACCCATGTTTGATGAGGAACAACACTGGAGGTTTAACTCTGATCTATACATACACATACATGTGCCCACACACATACATGCACACACATATACACACATAAACAGAACATATACAGTTCCACATATACACATATACACTACACGCATATATGTGCAGACATACACAGATACACACACATATACACATGTATACTACACACATGCATGCATAACACATACATGCACATATACATATGTGCGCATTCCCACATGTACACATAAACACACACACACACACATTCACACAAAGTGGCTTTTCCTTAGGGCCTCCAGGAAGAACACAAGCCTTCTGGCCTTACCAGGCTCAAATCAAGGGCCCAGAGGCCAGGAACCCAGAACTGTGAGAGCATACATCTGCATTGCTTTAAGGCCCTAAGTCTGTGATTTGATTTTTTTTTTCCTGTAGCAGCTGTAGTAGGAAAAAGCATCTAAAACAGGAACCCAACAAAGAAAGCCAAGCCAGGGTGCAGGCAGTAACACAGTCCCAAGTTTGAGAGCAGATACCAATGGTAGGTTCCTACTTCATGCCGTTCTCATTACACTCTGTCCTGAACAGAGGCATGTGGTCACAGCTAACTATCAGTGGGGACCAATTAAATAAGCTGGAACAACAGCCCCACTAGAGACTGCTGTGCACCTCTCTAGCATACTGACACTTTGGGCTTTCCAGCATATGTTATATGAAAAGGGCAAATTATGGGTAGGTTCCCCCAGAACCTACCTCCTTCATTGCCAGTATGTGGGACACACAGTCTCATGCCTTTGAAGGGTTTTCACAGCTGAGTATGACCCTTCCTGTCTATTCTAGCCAAGTACCTCAATGGGCAGCTCTGGTGCTGAAATAGCCCTTTGGTTCCCAGGACTTCAGTGGGCATCGATGTGCACAAGATGCATGGATCAGACTAGACCCTAAGACTCCAGGGACATCTGCAACCCCTCCCCCCCATTCTTCCTCACTCAGCACAGGACATAAAACTAGACAAATCCAGAAGCCACATGTGCCACTGGTGGAGAAAAAAGGCCACAACCAACCCACTCATTCAGAGGGTTGGTGGTCAAGCAGGGTGGCTGCCCAGCCTGCAAACCCCATGACGTGTTTTCAAACGCAAGGAGGCTTTGAGCTGCGGAGCCATCCCATTCTCCTTGGTGCAGGCTCAAGTTCCCTGCCCCGATTTTCAGGGCTTAATCCTCTTCCTGTGGAAATCAATGAGGACATTGTGATGGAGTGATTCACGTTCAAGGTCAGGCCGCAGCAAATTGGAGGCGACATGCTGATTTTAGTGCCCTCACGGAGGGGAGCCAATCCCGGTGCACAGATTACTTAACCCTCTCCTCACCATCCCTGTCACTCCTGTCAGCTCCAAATCTGGGTCCCCAAGGATTTTGCACTCCCTATGTGGCCCATCTTTTGCATTTCCCCAAGGTCTTGAGGTTTTGGTCATTTGTGGAAGACAGATGACAAATTCAGGAATGGCTTCAAGTTGAAATAAAATGTATAACTTTACCAGCCCATTTTGTCAACTGGTGATACGCTCTGCCTGCAGATCTTCTGCACCCTAAGCCTTGTTCCAAGTTCCAGCCTTTTCTTGGTTGTTCACATGAAAAGATGGAGGAGATGGGAAGCTAAATTCCTGTGTGTGTGTGTGTGTGTGTGTGTGATTTTTTTCTGATTTAAACCTAATGGAAATTTATTTTCCCCTTCTATATACAAAACAACAACAACAACAACAACAACAACAACAAAACGCTTTCAAAATAGGGGGTCTGAAAAGCTACAACTTTGTATCCAGGATCATCTAGAAACCCTGGCTTCTCTTTCTGGAACCATATGGCCCAGCCAACTCTCTCATAGTAGCTCTGCCCATTTCTGCCAGACGGGTGCCTGAGGGCTCAGGGACCATGCATCATAGGAGTGAGAGGATGCTGCAGTAAATGGTAAGAGGATTACTTCCTGCTGTTCTCACTACACTGTCCTGAACAGAGGCATGTGGTCACAACTAACTGCAAGGGAAGCTGGGAGATGTAGTCCTGCCTGCCCAGGAAGAGGAAAATGTGTCTGGGGGATGGAGTCTTGGTAGGAAACAGAGACAGTGAAGAAGATGCTACCGAGAAGTTTGAGGACAAAAGTCAGGTCTTGTGGTCATAGAAGGATTCCTTTATTCTTCGTGGAAAGCAGTAGATTGAAGTGAAAGTTAAGATAGGACTTTTAGAGAGAAGTCCAGAGTCACAGAGGATGTGCTGGAGTAAGGAGAATTATGATGGAGCCAGGTACCTCTGGCCAGGTGGACACTGCCGTGGTTCTTTACTGATTTGTATCTTCAACACAAAGATCACAGAGAAACGAGTCTGCCAGCAAGCTGGATGGTGAAAAGCCTGGACAGCAAGGAGTTAATCGAGGATGGGGTTAGCAGAACTGGAGAGCCAGGTGCCCCCCAACACGCTGTGGCTGTGTCAGTTAATCCCCTGCAACAGGCAGGAGGCCTGCACAG